TTAGAGTTTGCAGCCTTCTGAGAGAACAAATGGGACTCCTTTTAATCTGGCCTTCTCATCATCACCACCAGATTCCCAAAGGTATCTTAAAACCAGAACAAGGTAAGAAGCTTTCTAACACAGCACTGTTGATTCTGCCCAGGATAGCTGTGAGTGGAACACAAGACTGTTGATTCTGCCCAGGATAGCTGTGAGTGGAACACAAGACTGTTGATTCTGCCCAGGATAGCTGTGAGTGGAAGACAAGACTGTTGATTCTGCCCAGGATAGCTGTGAGAGGAACACAAGACTGTTGATTCTGCCCAGGATAGCTGTGAGTGGAACACAAGACTGTTGATTCTTCCCAGGATAGCTGTGAGTGGAACACAAGACTGTTGATTCTGCCCAGGATAGCTGTGAGTAGAAGACAAGACTGTTGATTCTTCCCAGGATTGTTGTGAGTAGAACACAAGACTGTTGATTCTGCCCAGGATAGCTGTGAGTGGATCCTGATTGCAGGGGATTTCAAAGTAAACTTCTTCACCAATTGAACTTTCACTCTCCTTATCTTACTTCAACTTGTAAGGACCCCTAACATCCAAAAAAGGAACTGATTCTCTTTTCTTTTTGAGACAGGGTCTCATGTAGCCCAGGCTGGTCTTGAACAGGCTACAAATCTGAAGCTATCCTTGAATGTTAGTCCTCCTGCCTCCACTTCCAGGTGTGAGCCACTGCTTTGAGCTCAGAAGTACAATTCTCATTGTAATGTACCCAAATTCCATTAAAATGTTCCTAGTTCCTGATCCACTGTTAATCAGGTCATGGCTTAATGCTGTGAATACATTAGGAACATGCTGAAAACATGAATTCTTCTTAATTCCTAAAGGAGCTTTCAAAGCCTGCAAATGAAGCCTTCACAGACAGATGTATTCATGAAAGATGATACAAGGAGGGAATAAGGAATCACAAAATCTAAGACTTAGGAAGAAATTCAACTCTTGCTTGTTGTTATTCTGTCTTTCATCTACTTCTCAAATTATTATACTTTCCCCAGCAAATAATCCCTTAATTGTTATCTGAAGATCACTAATGATAAGGAACTTAATACTACTGAAGATATTTGCTCCAATGGTATAATCACTCAACTCTGAAGTTTATTATTAAAGTTGGTCAACGTCTTCTTTCCAGCTAGATTGCTACAGAAATCTGATCACTCCAACTCTGGCTAGGTTGATTTTTGCACATTTTGGGCAGCTTTGGACTCTGTCTCTTTTCATATAGAATGGAGACAGCATTGGGTTGCTTGTCCACAGTCTCTCATATTAGTCATACTAATAACACCACTAGAAAAATTAATGAAACAATGTGGATAATCGCTCAGTTGTGTCTTTGAGGGTATGGAGATGGCTGAAAGTTCCACAAATTCTCAATAAACCATCTCCTGGACTATCTGACTAACCACTGCATGGAGGACCCAAAATGATATGGGGTAGAAGTGTGGTGGGAGGGCAAGAGTCAGAGAGGGAGTCAAGATTAGCATATAAAACAACCGGTTAGCACAGAAACCCTCTCCCCTGAAGGATACACATAGCCTAACAGAGAATGTGCTAGATAAGCCCCTGGGAATAAGAAGGTAGTTATGCAAATGACTTATAAAGGAACATGACCTTGAGGCCAGTCCCAGCCCACCAGCTGGCTGCCCTGTTCGGGACTGCCTTTTTCCTCCTTAATAAGCTATTTGCACCACTACACCTGTGTCTCCAGCCCAATTCTTTGTTCCAGCATACAACAACCCAAAATCCCAGTGACTGTCTTCTAGGATGCAATCCACATCTTTAACAGAATGGCTTTCTGTGTCAAGAGCCTCTCCTGTTAGTTAGCCTAAGACGCCATGCTGCACACCTGAGCTTTCACACTTCCTGAGACCTACACAACCAACACTTAGGGCCTATGCAGCTCTGTTTCCAGAATTTAGTTGGGGTTTCTAAAATGTAAATATCTATACAGTCGGGTGGCACTTCTAATAAAGAGAGACTTTAAGAATGTCTTTAAAGGAAGACATGGGAATATGCCAGGGAGGAATTCAAGAATGATTCCCTAATAAAAAAAAATATTAAGTGTTTGAAAGAATCATGTGTTTCACAGGTTAAAAGATTAGCACTTTTTATTTAGTCCTCATGATTAAGAAAGGAGACTCATGTATGGTGGTGTACATCCATGATCCCAGTACTCAGAGGCCAGGCCAGCAAGCCTGAGAGTTCCTCCAAGATGCTCCCACATGAAGACACAACACAACTGAACACCTGACTGTGCCACTGGGCTGAGAAAGGGAGGGTAGATCCCCTTGCTGACTCCTGCATGCTGTTGTTAAGAGTCAAAATTTATCTCCAAGCCCCACCTGCCCATGGGCAAGATAACTTCCTGAAATGTTGGGAATTGTAGTTCCTGAGAAATAACAAGCCACATGTTTTTACCTCCCTAAACAAGTTTTTTCTGAGGCTATTACTCTGGATGTGCTTGATCACGTGTAGATGGGAGGTACATAGGCAGGAAATAAATCAGGATGTATGTTTGCCCCTGATTAGACCTGATGGAACATGCAATGCATTATGGGTTTTGCTTTTTTAAGTCCCTGAAAAGTATGACTCTCGCTGGGAATTGGGGTGGATCTGATGAGTCCATTTTTATGGTCAGTACTTAATTAAAACTTGCTTCAAATTTGGCTCAAAAATATGGAGCTGGTTTTTCTCTCTAAAATCTCAGAATTAACACTGTGATATTATAAATTATTTATTTGCTGTCCTTGTGTCTCAGTTCCTAAAACTGCGGAAACCTGGCATACTAGGAATATTAATATCAATGGGTAACCAGAGTTACTAGAGAGTTAAGCACAGTATAGGCTCATTATAATAATTAGGTGCAGTGATTCCTGTTCTCTGTTTCATGCATTCATGGCAGTCATATTTTCAGATGTATACTGTGACTAGTATAAGTATGTGAAAGCCTACCCTAAAGGTACTTCGGGAGCAATCCTGTCTCTTTAGCCATCTTTCTACGGTCCAAGCACACCAGGAAAAAGTGATGCAGTTTAGAAGGGAGAGTACTGGGCCAGTTGTCAGGAGACACTCCTGGCTGTTCAGTGGATTAGCCGTCTGCACTACATGTACCAGCTGGAACCGTCCATACCTCGGGTCCAAAGACAGCCTCACACTCGAAAGGGTTGCCATAGCAAAGCTGAAGGTCTGAATTATTGGGATCTTTTTGTGCTTAAACTTTTAAAAGTCTAGTGAGAAATTGGTGATTAAATCACCCAAGAGCTTGAAAAAGAATCAAATCTCTTCTTCCTCCTTTTCTTTGTCTTCCTCCTCCACCCTTCTTCATCTCCATCCTCCCCCTCCTCTGCTTCCTCTTCCTTTTCCTCCTCTTCCTCATTCTTCTTTTCTCTTTATCTCTCTTCCTTCCTGCCTATCCATACTTTGTCTTACATGTTGGTCTCAGAATAAATGGCATCTGTAGCATCTTATGAACTATCTATTATTATTGTTGTTCATTAGGCTGGTTCATCTTACACACCCCTGAATATTCATTATACCTTTCAGAATAAGTAAATAGTTCTTTATATTCAAGTCATACATAGTACACGGTGAGAAAGAAACAGAACACAAAGAACAGACAGAAAATAGGACACCAACACAAATATGTACTTTGCACCTGAGGTGTAGACAAGGTCACATACAAGCTGCCTTCGACGGGTGTCACTTCTGCTGTGGCACACAACAGTCCACCCTGGAGTATAGCTTTGTGGTTGAGATGAATTGACCAAAAGTCTGAAATCCTGTAGTGATACCAGAAGATTGCAAGAGGATTTGAACCATATTCCTGACCATAGGACAATGTTATATGAGATCATATGATAGAGATATATGTGTGTGTTTCAGTGGTTTGTTTGTTCAAACAATTGTTACATGTGGTAGGATTTTGATTTCATAGTGTACTTGGTCATGGCTTTATTAGGAGGTTTTGTCCTTGCATAGTGTGATTAAAAAATTATGTGATCAAAAAGCTTGACTTCCAACTGCTACCATATATGGTTACCATCAATATTTCTTGTGTGATACAATTTCTGTCTTTTCTCTAACCTTCTCATATCCACTAGGTCAACCTTCCTTCCAAAGCTGGATTCACACCTTCATTGTATGTTTATGAGCAGCAGCATGACAGGTAGGTACTATAGATAGATACCTTGAAAACTGAGAAACAAAGTATCCTTTGCAAACTCTATTTTATTGGGGATGTCAATAGCAAAGAAACAGAGATAACAAAGAGCTGCAGCCTTCAAAAGACACCGGAGTTCATCTATGTATGTGAAGTCAGGGTACAATGTCCTATAATAAGGCATGAGTTTTATAACTAATTTTAATAATTGCAAGAAAGGAAAGAAATAACAAAATTCTATTTATCAATCAGTAGTACTTTTTGGCAAAGTAAAATACTCCAGCTCTTGCCATTTCAGAGTGGAAAATATAACAGATCAATAGTCAATCATTATGTACAAAGAGTTGCTATCTCTAAGAGAAAATTAGATTCTCAGAAGTGAGGTTCTGTGCCACAGAGTATGGCTCCTATATCATATTTCCCTGGAAGACCTAGACAACGCCCACCTATAAACACAGCCAGTATTTATGCTCTACCAGGCCCCAGCGAAGGGCAGGGCAGCAAAGATGGCAGGATACATATGGAAACTGCCCTTCTGAATTTCAGACCACCTTATGATCTTTTAAACTTAGTGGATTCCGGCATAGAACAAATAGTAAAGGACCAGCACAACACAATCAAGACAAATTAAAGTGGATGAGTTTGAGACTTTGGTGGCAAATTGACACTGTCCCGGGATACTGATTATGACTCATAAAGGTAAACTGGAATGCAGGATTTGGCTGAAGCTGCCTAGCTGCTAGGCTGAGCATGAGCTGTCCCTTCAGGTAAGGCTGGCCTTATGGCTTCATGTCACCAACACTCACCATTCTTGCAGAGCAGAATAGCCAGAAAATCCTGAGAAGAGGAATTGAGGAAGAGCAAGAGGCTGGGGGCCCATGCTGTCACAAAGCTCAGTGTGATGGTTTCCTTGGATGGGGCTGTATCTGTGTAGATAGCTGAAGACGAGAGGCTTGTGTTCTTGGTCACCGGGTATGGTTCTTGAAACATGTATGTAACTGAGCTGCCAGAATCAAAAAGAGCTGAAATCTCTGTAAAAAAAAAAAAAAAGACAAGAGAGCACATTTTCAAACGCTCAGTCAACTACTTGAAGTAATTATAATGCCTGCCCATTGTTTCCTTGCACCCAGCACTGTGTGAGGGCAGTTAAAAAAAACTAGACAATGTGCTTAATAATTTTGAAGAGGCTCAAATCTGCCTTTGTGTGTGTGATCACATATGTGCATGAGGATTCATGTCAGAGACTAAAGGTGGTGTGCTCTCCTCTATCGCTGTCCTCTTCATTTTTTGAGACACTGAACCTAGAGCTCCTGTACTAGCTAGACTGGCTGGCCAGTGAGCTCAGAACTCCTCTTATCTCACCTCCTCTAGGGACATCTTGTTTTCTATGTGAGCGCTAGGGATCCACACTCAGACTCTGATGCTTGTGCGGTGAGCACTATGCTGACAGAGCCGTTTCCACAGCCCTTTGTATTCATTGTTTGCAGTTAGAAATGTGGCTGGGGATCTTAATCACAACACCAAACTTTGCTCTGTATCACCATGTTATTCAGTGAGATGGTCTATAAATCACTGAGGAACATTGTCCAGCAGGGTTTAGACTTATGGAACCTCTGTGTTGCAAGAAAGTATCACCTGCAGCTGGGGAGATGGACTTCTTAGATCTGTGAGTGCACATCTGACTGTCAAACTGTGTGGTAAACTTGAGTTCATGTGGGTATGAAAGGGTTCTCTTCTTCCAAAATGAGGGGTACAGTATTCCTAACCCTCCCTCGATATTCCCTGGCATAGTGTGGGGCACTGAGAACATAACCAAACTTAGCTTTGCTTCCTGATGCTCTTGCCATTTTTCTGCTTGTGAAAACTCTGTTAACAGTCTGTAATAGTACCACCTAATTAATGCTACATGTTTATGCATGTTCTCTGGCAGACTGGCACTGCTAGTGCAATTTTATGAAAGGTTCAAAAAGAATGTTTGTCTTTCATCAAGCAAGTTATATCAATGTTTCTTTTGTTAAAAATAGGAAGCATACACTTATGGCCATGAAGATGTTATGTTGGCTTGTGATCTGCTTGATTCAAGTGTTTTCCACAGGGACTTATGACCTGCATTTTGAGATACTATTTTCTAGTTAACAAAATAAAAGCCCTTGTTTGATGTTTGTATATATAGTTGAATGTGTATGTGATTCACAGTGTATGAAAAACAGATATAGGCATGTACATTATGATTTTTTCTTCTCTTTAGGACATTAAATCAAAAATGGAAAAAAAAACATTTTATGATTAGACATGTCACACAAAATTGATGTCCCTTTTCTTCTCCTGGACCTAGTTTTCTTTATTTCTAATGTTTAGGCATTATTTGTTTCAGTATAAAGCCTAGTTCCATGATATGTGTAGGTTCTGCTGCTCATCTGTTTTCTTCTGTTTTGTAGCAGGAGATAAAGGAGCTGGAATGGGTTTAGTTTTCCCATAGATTACTTATGAAGAAAATCTAAACATATTCAGTGAATTTTAACTTTTATTGTTATTTTAACTTGAGATAGGATATCATTAGAAAATGTAATAAGAACAAGCATGTAGGGAGAATTTGCAGGCTGTGTGAAGTATTCACTGAGTGCTAAACATGATCGCTCCTAAAAAATGTCTGCATTTCCCACTCATTAGAAAGTAAAATTGAGGAAGTTTGAGAATAAATATATAACTACTGTCTCCCATGGTCAATGGACAATGGTAAATGAGTAAAAACTTGAACCAAGACTATTTCTGCAGAGCTCTGGTGACAGGTGAATTAAGTAAGAGAAGACAGTATTTATAATGGGAACTATTGCAACAGTTGGAACTTAGGCTTACAAATATTTATGACGTATATAGGAATGCTTATTGGATGAAATAAAGGAAGCCCATGGCATAAATAAAATACACATCATGGTCTGCACATCTCCACTATATTAAATGCAGGTAACATTTTTTGTTTGTTTGTTTGTTTTGAAATGATTGTCTAAGTGGTTCAGTTAGGTTCAGCTTTCTAGATTTGTACATCAATTTCCAAATTTATTATCTAGCATTTTTAGCAACAAAAATATTTAAGTGATGGAATTTGTTATTGAGTCAATAATAGAAGAAAGACGAAGGCAAAGAAGTACACATTGATAAATGATACCTAGGCATATGGATATTAGCAGGCAAAAGAATCATATGAAGACTGCCAAGGTGGCTCAGAGGATAAAGATCCTTGCAGCCAAGCCTGATGATCTGAGTTCAATCCCTGTGAACATACTGTAGAATGAAAGAAGCTACTCCTATAAGTTGTGCTCTAACCACACATGTGCCCTGGCATGCTGACAAACACACACACACACACACACACACACACACACACACACACACACACACAGAAAAAGAGAGAGATGCACATACACATGAAAGAGAGAAATAGATAGATAATAAATAAATAAATAAATAAATAAATAAATAAATAAATAAATAATAAATGTAACTTAAATTTGGTAAAATAAATAATGGAATCATATAAAGCCCAATCTTACAACAAATATAAAAATTAACTCAAAATGTAACAAGATCCTCAATAGAAGAGTTAAAATTATAGAATACTCAGAAGAAATCGTAGGTGCAAACTTTTACACCCTTGAACCCACCAATTATTTCTCGTGTATGACAGTAAAAGTAGAAGCAATAAAAGAAAGAAAAGATGAATTAGGTTCCATCCGAATGTAACAGCTTTCTGTTTCAAAAGATGTAATGAAAACTCTGAAAAGAAAATACATAGAATGGGAGGATAAATTTGTAAATTATATTTTTATAAGGGACGTATACTCAGAAAAGAGGAAAAAGTTGTGAATGAATGGCAATGAGAATAAAAATCTGCAAAAGGTTTGAATATGCAGTTATTCAAAACAGACATGAAATGAATGGTAATGATTTCAAAGACTGATTAGCATGACTAGTCATTAGGTATGAAGAGCCACAGTATCACACCGTTTCCCATACAGCAGGGTGTTTGCTATAAGATAGGCACACAGTAACAGGTTGTGAGAGTGCAGAAAAACTAGAGCTTTGTACACTTCTGATAAGACGGGAAGTCCGCAACCCACTTTGAAAAACAATTAACAATTTAACAGTTCCTCGAGAGATGAAACATGGGGCCAGCAAGCTGGCTCAGCAGGTAAGTGAACTTGTTACTCACCAATCTTAGTGACCTGAGTTTTATACCCAGAGCTACACAGTGATATTAGGCCCAAGGGGGAAAAAATCCCCACAAGTATTCCCAGAAAGGGCAGTCACACTGACTTGGCCCAAAATGAAAGTCTAGGCTCAGCTCAAGCTGGACTCTAGGAAGATTTCTAGTGTAAAGATCAAAGCTCACAGGTGGCATTCCTTAGGAACCTGTGAAATTTTGATGGGTTTCTGCCCACCAAAAATGGCCAGTTCCCTTGGCATATACCTATGGTTACCTATCAAAGCTAACTTTCAGTCTTCCATGTTACCTAACACATGTACCTGTTGTGCATTTCAAATCCTACACTAGAATCCTGGCCCACTGGCCGTCTTACCTCCTCCATTGGCTCCTTCCCAGGCTATTCCAGGTTACAAAACTGGCAGGCCCCACACTTCCACCCCAGCCCTGCTTCTCTGCTTCGCTTGCTAGCCTCTGCCATTTTCTCCCACTTCTCTCTGCCACCCCTCAAGCTCCGCAGTGGAGATAGCCCTGGCCCTGGCCAGTCCTATTTGCTCTTTTTTCTTTCAGTTCTGGACTCTTCCGGATGCCTCTGTCTGTTCTCTCATATTTACAGTCAACAGAAGTATACTCCCTGTGGAGCAGCCATTTCTATGGTTTCTTCCCTGTGCCATCACGTGCAGGTGGAAGAAGAGAAACCGAGTTCTCAAAGTTGCTGTTTGCCTTCTACAGGACCACATGGCACACGTGTGCTCCGTCAGTTTCCCTTGCTCAAATAAATGCATGTAATAAAATGATAGCAATCTATGTGACATTCCTAAACACACACACACGAGTTTCAGGGTTAGTATTGTTCAGAAGCATCAGAAAATGGAGACAGTCCAGTGCCCACTGTCTGACCAACAGGCAAGCAGAGAGAGAAGTAGCCATAAAACACTTTGGCAATAAAAAGAAAAAAAATTGCCTTGACATGGGTGAAGTGACAACATTATCTAATGGGAGAAAGATGAAACAAAGAAGCAATATGCATTAGGGTTCCTTTATAAGAGGGTTCCACCTCGGCAAATCCACAGAGACAGAGGGAGGAGTGGCTTCTTGGGAGGCAGCAGACTGCTGGAGGCCATGAGAGTTTCAGGTCGCTGACAAGAAAAGAATCTGAACCTAGGTAGGGAAGGGTATGTGAAGAAGAACAGGAAGCAGGACAGATACACCTTACCAGGGGGGATTTATCTGGGTTTGAATTGTATCTAATTAAAAGACTAACAATAAATAAATCTATAAAAAAGCACAAAAAGCAAAGAGCCATATTCCTGGAGGGATATTTCAATCACATTTTTATTCAGAATAAAATCAGAATCACAAATGAGAAAAAGCCCTAAAGCAAATCAGCAGACCAAATAAATCAAAGGTCCCCAGCTCTGAGAGTGATTGACTTTCATATCACCCGGGCTGGAGAGATGGCTCAGAGGCTAAGTCCTCTTCCTTGTCCACAGGACCTGAGTTTGGTTCTTAGCACCCATGTCAGGCAGCTAACAACCACTGGGATCAGTTCCACAGAATCTGATACTATCTTCTGGCAACCTTGGGCTCCCACACACACAGCACGAATGTACACAATCATCCGCAAAAAAAAAAATACAAATAAAAATACAAACAACCCATGAAGGTAGAGCTGGTGGACAACAGCTGGACCATTGGTGGCATGACTTTGAAAGTTTATCCTGGGATCGCCACATCTCCCCTCTCATTACTGCTTCACAGAAGCTGTAAGAAATAGAGTTTTTCTGCCACATTCACCTATGATGTCCCATGTCAACATGGATACAAAAGCAATAGAGCCAAGGAGCTATGGGATGAAATGCCTGAAATTATAAATGCAAATCAATGTTTCTTCCTTGTTATAGCACCGTAAGGAACAGGAAATGGGGATTGGGCCCAGGACAGGTGAATGAGCACATGTCCTTTATTCCATCCTTGATATCCCACATGTTTAAAAACCTCAGCTCTGGCATACATGATGCTGCAATAAAAAGCAGGGAACAGCCCCCCAGCAAGGAGCACTCTTTATTCAGTGTTCTCTCTTGGAACATGGCTCTCCTTTTCAGTTCCAAGTCACATTTCCCAGAGGCAATTGTAAAGACAAATATTTGTTTAAGAAGGACATCTTACATCCATTGCTTATGCAGGAGATCATTTAATTTCAATAAAGAGGTTTTTAGAAACAGTAGAGTAGGTAGGACCCTGAAAAGGTTAAGAAGACAATTGTTTATTTAACTGATGCATCAAAATGAGAAACAGGTATTTTAACAGGTGTGAACAACAATTGTGGCAGTATCAACACAGGAGAGTAAACACAAATGTTGCAGAAAGGGAAGCTGTACCAATGAGGCTAAAGAGGAGGACTTTCCCGGGGATGTTTGGATGAGAGATGCAGGTAGAGCCTCCGATCGGGGTTTCCTTTCCCCATCAGAAGATTTTACATAGATACTACAGGACACTTTTGGTATACTGTGGCATCATGTCTGGTCCCTGCATCTGCATGTGCTTCTTGTAATAATGGGACAACTCAAGGATGCACTCCAACTTTATAGAGTTGTTAGCAGAGTTTTCCCCATGTGAAAACTGAGAACACCTTTGTCTTCAAATTAATTTAAAATGCATTTGCTTATTCTTTAAGAGTGTTATATATGCTGTCTTTATTATTTTTTGTTATCTGGACACAGGTCAGGGTAAACCAGCAAGAGGGAACCTCAATTGGGAAAATTCCTCCATCAGACTGGTCCGAAGGCAAGTCTGTAAGGGTATTTTTGTGATTAATGATTGGTGTAGGAGGTTCCAGCCTACTCTGAGCAGTACTGCCTCTGGGCAAGTGGTCCTGGATTATCCAAGGAAGCTGGCTGAGCAAGCCACCAGGAGCAAGCTAGTACACAATATTCCTCTTGGTCTCTGCTTCAGTTCCTTTCTCCAGGTCCCTGCATTGGGTTACTGCCCTGTAGGCCAGGTATGCTCTCACCTTTCCAAGCTATTTTGGTCATAGCACTTATCATAGAAAAAGAGAGTAAATTGAAACAGATGTTGGGAGCAGGTTCACGGATCTTGCTGGGATAGACATGAACATGCTGTTTGCATGTGGAATGTGCATTGTGGAATGTATTTGGCACTTGGGCCTGGAAAAAACATTGTGGGCTCAGAGTCTACTGGGCTATTCTGTATGAATCTGAAACAAGGTTGAGAGCAAAGCAGAAGATGGAGGCCGAGCTTGTTACATTTCAGAGGGAAGAATAGACATCGGGATTGTTGGTGTGATATTTTATATATTCAACCCCTGAAGGTGAAACTTGTGCTGCACTGAGAAAACAGACGCTGGTCAGCTGGAGCTGAGGAATCAGCTGTGATTAGTAAGAGACCAGAATCACTGAGACAGAATCTTCGGGAAAGTGTTTACTCAGGGTTAACACCCAAAGCTGTAGGCCAGAGGAGCCAAAGCTATACCACAAGCTGGCACCAAACTTGATAATATCTAAGAATCTTCCAAATGGTACTGGTTTTGGTGGTGTGAAACTGCCATACTGAAGGTGTCATAAAAGTTGGAACATGGCATCATGAGAAGTCATTGGTGAAGATATAACCTTGGTTACTGTAGAAACCCCAGGATTGGAAGGGTCATGGGGAGAAGGAGAAGTTTGGTACCATGTGAAGTGTCAGAGTTACAAAAGAGAGGCCAAGAAGCCATTGGTGAAGGTAGAGACCCCTTCATATTAGCGATGCCTGGACTGTGGGACAGCAGTCAAGGTAAGCAACAACTATGGGATGGAGCTGGCCTGAGTGTAGGAGAGGACCTATGTGTTCTGGAGATCACAGAGCCTGGGAAGTGGTGCTGGCTAGGCCCTCCGGAGGTCAGATCATGAGTAGGTACCAGGTGCCAAGCATTGAAAGTTTTACACTGTCCACATTTAGTTTTGCTTTGGTTTGTTTGTGACTGTGCTCTGGTTCCCTGATCTTCAAATAAGAAAGGATGTTACTTACTTCTTATATTAGAGAGAAAAAACACTTCAGAGACTTTTAGAGAATTCAGATATTTAAAGAGAGTGAACTTTTAAAAGTGTTTAAAATTTTAAAAACTGTGGAATTTTAAATTTTTTTTAATTTAAAATTTTTAAAAGTTGGAATGTTTTTTATTGTGATATTGATACTAACAGGAGATCCTAGAGGCAAACGAGAAAGGAAAGTTTATGATTTAATAGTAATGTATTGGTGTGTCAAGTTGACAAGGGGATAATTGTTCTGGTTAATTTTTGTCAACTTGACACAGGCCAGGGTAATCTGGGAAGAGTGAAATTTACTTAAGAAATTGCCTCCATCAGATTGACCTGTGGGCAAGTCTCCGAGGGTATTTTATTGCTTAGTGATTAATGTGGGATGGGATGGCACACCCCACTGTGGGCAGTGAAACCCCTAGGCAAGTGGACCCAGGTTGTGCAAAGAAACAGGCTGAGCAAACCATGAGGGGTAAGCTAGCATTCCTTCATAGATTTCACTTCATTTCTTGCCTCCAAGTTCTGCCAAGAGTTGCTGCATTGCCTTCCCTTGATGTTGCTCTGTGACCTGTAAATCAAATAAACCCTTTCCTCCCCTAGGCATTTTTGGTCATGGCATCTTTCACAACAATAGAAAGCAAACTAAGACACATATCTAATGCATTTTTTTTTTTTTTTTGGTTTTTTCGAGACAGGGTTTCTCTGTGTAGCTTTGCGCCTTTCCTGGATCTCGCTCTGTAGACCAGGCTGGCCTCGAACTCATAGAGATCCGCCTGTCTCTGCCTCCCGAGTGCTGGGATTAAAGGCGTGCGCCACCACCGCCCAGCTATCTAATGCATTTTTATCACACCCCCTCCAACTCCTTCCAACCCCTCATATACCCTCCTAACCACATGCTATTTATTTATCACCCATTGAGTCCAGTTAATGATGGCTTTCTTGGCTTGCATATAAGACCATCCGAGGGAACATGGGCACAATAACAGTCAAGAAAACCAACTCTTCTTCAACTAATCCACTGTCAATACGTTGTCAGCTGGGGAGGGGCCTATTGAGTCTCTCCAAATTCCATGTTGGAGTATTGACTAGATTGATCTTTTGCAGGTTGTATGTAAGCAACTACAACCAGTATGAGTTTGTGAGCTCTTATCTACACAAGTTTCAAGGATAGCAAGATGGCTCAGTGGGTAAAAGCACTTTTCACCTCATCTGAGGACCTAAGATTGATCCATGGACCCACATGGTAGAATGAGAGATCAAGGGCCACAGGATTTTCTCTAACCTGCACATATGTGGCATAGCACATGTGTTCCCTCAACAATATTTTCTAATAGAAAAACTTAAAAGTTTTGTCTTTAGTTAGGAGCTATCAGTTGGGACCTGTTTTATTTATTCTAAGCTCTGATACATGGTTTAACACTCTGTTGATCCTAAAGTTTGTTCCAATGGCTTTGTTCGCTCCAGAATTTTATTATGCTTCCTGGGAATAACAAGGAAATAATCCCAATTAGTTGGAGAGAAGGTCAGAATGAAGGACAGGAGAAATTAAATTGTAGAATTCTTCAAAGAAAACACTGGGTTCTTTTTTTTTTTCTTTAACTTTCAGATTAAGTTAGACTAAATAAACTACTGATTGATTGAAGATCTTGAAAAAAATGTGTTTAAAGGCTAAAGATATGGCTCTGTTGTTCAAGTGCTTACAGTTTGATCCTCAAAACCTAGGTTAAAAATATAACAGCATAGTGGTGATTGCAATCTCAATGCTGGGGAGGCAGAGTCTGGTAGATTCCTATAGATTTCTGGCCAGTCAGCCTAGTCCATTGGAGAGTTTAGACAAGTGAGAGACCCTGCCTCAAAAAATAGGGTAGATATCACCTGAGCAACATATACCTATTTTTTCCTATGGTCTGCACATGCATGCACAACCCTCATACATAGGAATAATAGGCACACACACACACACACACACACACACACACACACACACACACACACACCAAAAAGGAAAATGTCTTCATGAATAGGTAAGAACCATATAGAATTACTGTGTCCTGCAGCAGTTAAAATATTTCATTTTAATATTAAATACTATTCTTTGAACATTGAGTGCACAGCAAACTACTATTTTGTAAATAAAAATTTAAAAAACTATAAAGTTTATAGTGAACTTTTTTATTCATTGATTATATTCTTTAAAAAAAATTAAAGATAGCTTTAGTGTTTCTATATCTTCTTTTGCACTCAACACTGTGGTCCTTTGATACATTTTCTAATTGAGGTACTAGAACTAGAAATGTTAGTAAGTGATCCACTTCTGGTCTTCAGCTTTTTCTTCAACCTGGAGGATGTGTCCATTTTCAGCTATGACCACTCACAACTGCACTGCCAGCAAGCGTGCAAGCCCAATGTCAGGATAGAAGCTATGACAATGTTGATGAGCTAAGCAGAGTCTAAACAGGAAAAACTTGAGAGTACAAATCTGGGGCACTGCTTGAGGGCATGGAGAATGTTGGTTTGACCATTGTCATGCATAGAAGCAATGGTGTAGTGTGCCTAAAGGCATTGGTGCCATTGGTTTGATGATACCATGTGGACATTAGAGCATCACATACAAGAACAATGGTAATGGTGTATTGCCTCAGGCATGGGATTGCTGGAGGTGGTGTGTGGCAGCTGCTGGACTGGACACAGTAGTGGCATACACGCCCAGCTTACCTTTCTGACAGAAAGGCCCTTCATATGGTGAGTTGGTGCAGTCACAGGAGTAGCCACTGTGCTTTTCCACACACTTGCCCCCATTGTGGCAGTTGCTTCCATAGCTGCTGCAGTGACCTGGGCAGCCAGGTCTGACTCCAGACGTGACCTTTGCCCTCTCTTCCAGGTCTACTTTCTGCCCATTCAAGTGTAAAGAGCGGATACATCCAAGAAACCCTTTTTGTCTTGACGCTGTCCCTCCTAAGGGTGAAAAACAAGAGGGAAAATATGAACAGTTTCATTGTTATATTTTATAGATATAACCGATAGATCACAGAACTTCTGACTGTCCCTTTCCTCAGAAATTAGGCCACTTCTTGCTGCGGGGTCTCTCCCTGGACAAGGTGGGAGAGCCTGCTCTGACCATGCAGCTCTTCCTCTTCCCGTTGTAGCTTCAGACAAGGTCTGCCCAGTCCCTACTGCCATGACGCCAGAGGGCCTTGAGGGTTGGATGTTAATGATGATGTCTAGCATGTAGATTGGGGCATGTGGTGTGGGACTTATCTCCATCTTCCTGAAAATCTGTAGGATCAAAATGCCTTCTTTTTGATCTTTGGATCTAAGAGCTCCTCACTCTCATTTCTGAGCCTGTAGCAGGAATCTTAAAAGTTCTTATTAATAAAATCAAACCTGAGGCCAGTTATTGTGGTGAACACTGGAAGATCAGAGAGACAGAACAAGCCACAGCTAACCTCACCTGGCCAACTTCTCAGCTGGTCCTGTTTCCTCAGACTGGAAGCCTCTGGGTCCTCATCCAGAATGAATCTCAGCTGAACTGCTGCTAGAAGCCTGAAAGCTTAACCAGCCAAATGCTTCTAGTTTCTGGTCCTCACGCCTTATATACCTTTCTGCCTTCTACCATCACTCCCTGGGATTAAAGTCTTGCTTTCTGGGATTAAAGGTGTGAGTCACCCTGCTTGGCTGTATCCTTGAACAGATGGATTTCTGCCTCTGGAATGCTAGGATTAAAGGCGTGGGTGCCCACATTTTCTAGCCTATGTATCTAGTGGCTTTTCTGTTCTCTGACCCCAGATAAGTTTATTAGGCTACACAATATTTTGGGGAACACAATACCACCACATGAGCCTGTGGGGCTTTTGTGGTCTTCATGCTATTGCTCTCTGAAGGAAGCTGTCTGCAGGGTAATTTCACCTCAGCTTCCTTCTGTGGACCTCTATACATAAGAGTAGCATCTTCCTGCTGACACTTAACTGAGGTGGTATTGCCAGCCCTGCTGAACTTTTCTTTAAGATCCCAGTGAGAGAAAGGAATATAACAAAACATGAAGTCAGGGCTGTGGATTTAATTCAGTTGGTACAGTGCTCACCTGGCATGCATGAAGCCCTGAGTTCAATTGCCAGTACCACTGAAGTAAGTAATCGTGGCTGTGCATATCAAAAATCTCAGCACGTAGGATGTGAAGGCTGGAAGATCAGAAGTTCAAGATCATCTTTGACTACATAGCATGTTTGAGGCCAACTTAGAAAATATGAGACCCTGTTTCAAAGAAAAACATGGCCAGAGAGTGAGAGCAAGACTAAGAGAGACATAGCTCTTCTTAGATGCATAGGAATGAAAGTTTACATGACCATGGTGTCTGCATGTAAATAAAATATGGATTTTTTATGCACCCTTTAGTGTCTTCATCTGAAATAAAAGGGATAGAGTCAGATTGTCCTTCCTGGCAAATTTCAAAGAGAACTGTCAGATGCACCAAAGAGACGAAACTGCAATATATTCCTTTATGCTTATGCCGTGTAAGACTGTGCCCTGGGAGAGGGAGAGATTGGTATTGAGGTTCACCTCCATGTCACTCACTGGTTAGCCATATTGAGCACTGAACTGTTGGATTTTCAGCTATTCCATCAGTCATTGCATGTTTTATAGTAAAGCTTACTGAGGATCATGGAGTGTAGCATGTGTTCAGGTACTGCAGTCCTCTGGGTCCTTCTCTTAAGTCTTCACCTATTGCCTAGACTCAGTAGGTACATTATATGTTATCTGCTTTTTTATCTTAGAGTTATCTATAAAATGCTATTTAGCAGATAAGATTTCTCCACTCAAATTGAGACTTGGGCTGTAATCCGACTCTCAGCTGAGATACATCTGGAGTCTGTCAGGAGAGGGTTCAATACTCTCCATCAAGGATTGAGCAGATTTAAACTTTCTCATTGTTTTGTTCACAGAGAAAACCCCGCTCTTCCCAGATACACGAGAAATGTGTGCTAAGAGACAAGAAGCTGGAAAGCACAGTTAAATCCCATTAGCCTGTATGTGTGCTCTGCTGAGAATTCTAGGAGATCCTAAACGAGGCAGAAAACAGGCATTTCATGTCTGATCTTAGAGTTCAAGATTATCATAGATGAGTGGAGAGTGCATAGAAGTCCTTGAAGTCTGCCTAATGTACTAATGGAAATAGAAAGAATGTGAGGAGGATGGAAAAGAAAAAGAAGAAAGGAAGAGGAGCAGGAGAAAATACTGATGGTAAAAACTACACATCAATTATTTTCTGTATTTATAGGCTGCCTTAACTGAGACTCATTCCTCTTGAACACTTTATGCTACAACTCTATTAAATTTGATTTAGAAAGTAACTAGATCTGTGTCCATACTTATCAAAGAAGATAGGCTAGGCATTGGAAATTTTCTATTTTGGATAAGAAATATAAGTGTAAACAAAGAAAATAAAATTGTAAATCGAGGCTGGGGATGGATCAGTGAGTAAATGCTTACCTCACAGACATGGAGACCTGAATCTGATCCTCAGAATCTAGGGAGACTGCATGGGACTGGACTAGGTCCTCTGCATGTGTGAGACAGTTGTGTAGCTTTGTCTGTTTGAAGGGCCCTGGCAGTGAATCAGGATCTATCCCTGGTGCATGAGCTGGCTTTCTGGAGCTCATTACCTATGGTGGGACACCTTGCACAGCCTTGATGCAGTGGGGAGGGGCTGGTACCTACCTCACCTGAATGTACCCGGTTTTGCTGACTCTCTGTGGGAGGCCTTATCTTTTCAGAGGAGGGGATGGGAGGTGGGTTGGGGATGAAGGCTGGGGGGAGCAGGAAGATGGATGAGAGGGGGATCTGCAGTTGGTACATAAAATGAATAAAAATTTTCTTAATAAAGAAAAAAAGAACCTATAAAAAGACTAAATGATGTGATGTGTGCCTATAATCACAGGGATGTAAGATATGAGGTGGAGACAGGCAGATCTCTGGAAAACCACAGTATAGATGCTTAGAAATATACCTTCCTTAATCCATCCCAGGTATGGTGCTTTGAATGAGAACAGCCTCCTCAACATCTTGTTTGCATACTTGCTCCCCAGCTGGTGGAACTCTTTGAGAAGGATTTGGAGGTGTGACCTTGTTGGAGATGTGTCATTTGGGCCTGGCTTTGAGATTTCAAAAGCCTATGCTATCCCCACATATCTCTCTCTGCCTCATACTTAAATATCAAGATGCAAGCTCTCGGCTATTGCCCCAGAGCCATGACTGCCTGGCTGTTGCCATCATGATTGTCACAGAATCTACCCTCTGTAATCATGAGTGCAATCTAAGCACTTTCTTGGTCATGGTGTCTTATCATAGCAATAGGAAAGTAACTGAGATACCAGGTTACCAGACCAATAAACACACATGAATCACTGCTTGAGTCCAAAGAATAAAAAAGAACATTCCTGAGATATAAGGCTATATACTCTGAAATATTGAAAAAAAATTGAGTTTGTTTCAATTCTGATAAGAATGCAGGCCAAGAGGCCAAGCCTCAATTGCAATGTCTTGTCTATTTCAATTTCGGTGAGTAAGTCTCCTTTAACCACAAGATAAATCAATGGCACATACAAGCCGATCACAAAGGAAGGCTCATTATTTTTTTCTGGGGGTTATATGCAATAAAGAGGGGAGGATTTATGGAGCCTCACACTGGGTTCTGTTTCTCCTGCAGTCACCCCCCTTTGTGGATTTGAATAACTCTTCATATATCTTCTTGGTGTCATTTTTCTCCTAGCAGAGGTGGCGATTGCAAGATCTATTGCACATTTTCTTGCCTGTGTGGCTTAGACAACAAGTTTATAAATGAAGAAAGGGTGGCTGGGGTAATTTCTCTGGTAAAAATGCACTTCTCAATGTAGAGGCATATAAACTAAGTACGATTTCCCTCAGACTAGAAGCTCATGCCCTTCTAGATGCTGAGAGAGCACCATGACACAAGGCATTGTGCAACTACCTTGCACAGTGAACTGAAGTTGTGCTTTTACAGGCTGGGTTTTGTTTTTATAAAAGAAAAAAAATCTAAAGAACAGATTCTTTTTATTTTAAGGAATGTACAAACTAGACCACATGTTAGATAATTTTAAGAAGAATACATGCCAACACAAAGCACGCACACACACACACACACACACACACACACACACACACACACACATGTGCACATCTGTAGATATATTCACATATAGAAAACATACACATAAACACACATCTATACATACATGTGCATGTATACACAGAGACAACACAAGTATACATGCACACATACATGTACATGCACAAGAGATAACACAAACATGCACACAGAAAAAGCACAAATACATGTACACACATACATGTACATGCATACAGAGACATGTACACACACTGTTAGAGGACATGTTGTAAGAGTCCACTCTCTCCTTCTACCACATGGGTCCTGAAGATTAAACTCAGGGTGTCAGACTTGTCAAGAGTCTGTATCTGCTGAGCTATTTTTTTCATTCCAAAGTTGTCAGTTTTTAGAAAGAAAGAAATCCTAGCAAAATTCAAGAATGTCTTCCATTGAGAAGTCAGATGGTGATGCGCCTGCTTTCTTGCTGGCTTCTGTCCAGGACTCCACCCAGATTTAGCAGGTTGAGTTACTTTGCTGTCTTTTCACATACATAATTCAGCTATCATTCTGATACATTTTCCACTTCAAATTTTTGCATCTTGACTTATGTACAGTTGTTGGGCAGCTATTTTTTTCAAATTGTAACAGTCCTTCCTAGAGAGGCTCTTTAAGACTTGTGATGTAAACAAAAATTGTGCTATTCACAAGCCTCTCCCAAAGGTTATATGTAGCTTTGTTTTTTACTCTTTGGGGGCCCACACACAACTCCCAAATAGATACATGGAGACTTGTTCTTACTTGTGAATACCCAGCCTTAGCTTGGCTTGTTTCT